ATTGAATCTGTAATTTTACGTGGGTTCATTATTTTTTAGAGCGCTTTAAAAATAAAATTTTGAATTTTATAGGCCATATCTAGCTTGAGATGACTTAATTGATACATACATAGTCTGATGTGATCATACACTGATAGAAGGATTTCTTAGTATTTGAAAAGATTTCTTTGTATTTAAGAAATATTTCTTAAATATTAAGAAATATTTTTTAAATACTAAGAAATGGTTTCTTAAATACAACGAAATCTTCTTAAATGCTAAGAAATCCTTCTATCAGTGATATATTTTCACATATAACTTAATAATCAAAGGTAGTGATAAAAATTTCCGACAGATGGCGCATTGTCGCTAAATTGTTTCTCTATAACAGAGTTAAGTTTGAGATCTTAAGTTTTGAAATAAATATAATATTGTTGATTCTCTTAAGATGCTTATCTGACGTTAGTTTAGGTATAGCTTAACTATTATACCAATTTCTGTTTATTAAGATAAATTAATTGACGTGTACATTTAAAAAATTAAAAAATTTGTAATAAATTTTTTTTTCTCAAATATAGGATATGGCCATTTATGACTAGTTAATGTCATATATCAAAATTACCGCTATCATAAAAATTTTTTACGGGTATTATCCTTTTAATTATCGGAAAGCTTTCCAAAATATCAATAAATCTATTTTTTTGTATAAAATGTTGCTTTTTTAATCTAAAAAACATTCTGTCAACAATTTACAAAAAAAAATAACCTCTTTTCATCTTCAATTAAAAAAGTATCTAAATTCTCAAAACCAAAACACTCTTCCAAGTATCAAAATAAAATTCCAGGCGTTTATATATCACCGATAAATCTATAAATATTACAAGAATGTAACTTCTATCCAGCTGGTACAAGTTTCCCTCAATAACAAGCACTAATCACACTTCAATAGCTGACATAACCGACAAACTGAAAGAAAACAAGCGCCCGACAGTAATATAACATAAAGACAAACTTAATATAAAGCGGCACGAACATAATGACAGAAAATAAAGCAAAGTTTAATTAATAAAAACCGGGAGTTAAGCAGAGCTTAGCCTCCGGATCCTCGGGCCATTCATGGAGTAGATTTTCCCTCGCGGCTAATTAAGATCGCTGGAATTGAACAAGGTACCGCGATGGTACGTGGGAACACATTTATGTGGATAGGTACGTACCAAACGTATGTAAGCTACTCGATTGCTGACAGTACACACAGAGCAGAGCGGAGAGTGTAGAGAGTAGAGACCCGCGAAGCAAATTGTCCAACATAAATATCGTACGTACCTTTACGATGCGTATACAGTAGAGTATGTACTACAGAGCAAAGCACCTATATGTACTAACCCAACATAAGTGGAAATAATCCTACCGTACAGGCATTGCACATTGCACATTACACATTACACATTGCATAGAGATATGCGTCTTTAGAGCACCAGCAAGCAACATTACTCGAGAATCCCGGTCCCGGTAAACCATTCTAACGCTTATACAATCACCCGTTTTTCTTATTCTTTATCTCCCATAAAACTACTCTCCTTCTGGCTTGCTTTAGTTAATGCTCAATGCTTTTAATGCATTTACTTTGGTTATTTATTTATACATATAATACACTCATTCTTGCTCTGGGCTCTCTTTTACCACCGCGATTCCATGTCGTCTTGTCGTGTATTCTCCGCTACCGTATAGTACCTGAGCTCGGCGTTGCTTCCAGACATATATGTGCTTATATTTATGTGTATGCATAGAGAATGCACGTATATGCTCTCGTGGTATGCTATCTCACTTAAGATCGTTGCTACTGTCATGCCCCATCATGTTCTTCCATCTCTGAGTTGTATAAATTTTATTATACTTCATATCTTTGGAAAATACTCTTTTTTAATGTATAATGGTATTAATAATATTTATGTGCGATTCTGATAATAAATTTGTTCAGTTAGTGTCGGGGTTTATTTATTCCTCCTGGAGTTTACTGTCGAGTTTAAGTTTAGGAATTAAGATTGAGGTTTGTTTAAAATTTCAATACAGTTTTACTGTAAAATACAGGAGTTAATTTTCACTGACATTTCTCCGAGTAACGAAGTAACACTCCGCGTATGGAGTAAATTTGGAGTTTTTTTTTCAGCTGAAATTTTCTATTAGCTTAAACAAGTTTTAGATGCTAAATTACTGAAAAATTTATCTCAAATTTATGCTTGTAAATATTAACTACATTTTTTCAAAAAATTTGATTTCTGGAATATTGAACCACATTAATAGAGATTATTTTAGTTTTGAGTCTTTTTGAGAAATTTTGACGCAATGAGTAAAAAATGATCAATTATTAATATTAATTAAATAAATTATTATATAGAAAAATGATCAAAAAATGCTACTTGTAGAAATTAAAAATTATTGATGTAATTAATTTTAAACGTTAAAATTTATTTGCTACATCAAAATAAGAAAAAAGGTTATTATTAATTTTTAATTATCTATTTTGTAATTTTTAAATGAGTAGCAACTATTTTTTTTTTATTTTTATTCAATAAAAAAATAAAGAATCACTTGGTGGATTTTTTTTTTTAATTAATAATAATCTTTCTCAGAGTAAATTTCACTTCAAAGGGATTAAATTAATTAAAAATTATCCAAAAATCACGTCACAATTTTTCAAAAGTTTAATTTGACCTTGTAAGAGATTAATTGTATGCTTCGCTAAACAAAAGATTGAGCTTAATCTAGAAAATTAGTGTAGTACAGTTTATTTGAAAAGTATATGAAGAATTAAAATTTTTTTTTATTAATCTGTCAACAAATATTTATAGATAGGTAATAAATAATACTTATTAACACATGTTTCTATTACTGTATAAATTTAATTCGTGACAAATTTTGCCATCGGTTGAATTTCTGCGACATGATTTTTTTTTAATATTTTATATAGTTCCATTGATATGATCATTAAAAAATTGGGAAAAGCTTAAATTTTTTAGATTTCTACTGTAATACGGCATGAAGGTATATATCGTTCACATAACAGCAACTAGTGCGAACCTCACGTTCCTGGACACATATAAGTCCACTAAGAAATATAACATGTCCAAGCAGCATGGTAAAGTACCCAAAGAAAAATGTATATATATCCAGTGACTTTCTACTTCTCGTCAAGATATCAACCATACTTGGTCTGTACAAGCGAAGTTTCTCCTCTTCTTGTTTTCCATGGCGCGTCCCTTTAGCTATTAACTATAAACTACCATCGGCGCTTAATTCTACAGAGACTTGCCATCAGTCTCCTTACTTTATTTTTTTATCCTTAAGTCATGTAGGTAATTTTCTTCTCACAACTAAAACCACCAGATTTATTATTATTCTTTGGGAAGAAATCTAAGCGCTGATTTGATGTATTTCGCTTTTTCTAACCCATTTTTGCTGCCCGCCGTATAACACCAGAAATAGACGTGGATAAATTATTTATCAATTCAAAGAGACTCTACTTAATTATTATAAAAAAGAAGGTAAAGAGGATGTGGATTGTTGAGGATAAATAATAACAATTTAATTCATGAGTATTGTCAAAATATATTCAATGAAAAAATTCATCATCTTGTAAAATAATAATGCAATTGTCTGTCGAATTTATTAAATAACGCTATAATAATTATAGGAGCCAATAGTAATAACTAAAGATAATTATTACATTTAGCTAACGACCGCAACCTGATGCAATACATTCCTACTATACTATAGCTCAATGTTGTTATTGTGTTGGTAGTTTTTTGTATTGTGTAATTCTGATCTTGGCCCAAATGATCAAACATTTTTTTTTTTTATTTTTTAATATTTGAAAAATTTTTATAAATTAAAAATATATTTTTCCAAAAATAGTAAACAAATTTTATTTTTATAACATTTTTTACAGAATCAAAATTTTTTTTAAAAGCCAAAATTTTAGGATTGGTAAGTGAAAAATTTTCAATTTTCAATCAAGATAACCAAAAATAATTTTTAAACTTTTAGTTCAAATAATTTTTTGGTCAGATTTTGAAAATTGAAACATTTTGTTTAATCAAATTTACAATTTTTATTTTTAAAATTGAATTTGAAAATTTTGACAAAACCAAATTTTGGAAATCCAAAATTTAATATTTTTAAAGTTTGTATGATTAAAATAAATAATTTGTTCTAAAATAAAGACTTTAAATCTTATTTTTTTAAATCTTCTCAAGATTTTCTCAAAAATTTTGAACCAATTGATTTTTTTGGACCAAAAAAAAGTGTAAAATGTAAGTGTAACTTATTAAATAAGAAACATTTGCCTTAATGAATAACATTTAAAATATTTAAATTTAATTTTATTTACAAAGAAATACCATTGATAGATTAATTATTAAAATTAATTTCACTGACTCGGTAAATCTTACAAATAATAAATATTTAACTCATGTCTTGTACAATTTCCTTCAATAATAATTTCTTTTCTTAAAAATAAATCATCCGTACACTCGAATTAAAATTTTATCGCAATAATAAATCGCGTATAATTTAATCCTAAGTGAATTTACTTTCAAAGTCTATGACTTCAATATCATCCGGGATATTGTTTCAATTATTATTTTTTTTTTAATTAGCGACAAATTTTTTTTCTATTTTTGTCTACAATAAATACACCTATAATTACTTTAATATCTATATTCACTTAATAATTACCTTCTTTTTATCATTTTTCATTTTTTTTGCTAACTATAATACAAATAAGAGCGTAGGTCGCTTTTATATTATTAATATCATTTTTTCATATATATATAAACAATGTATAACTACAGTGCATTAATTATTCTGAGTAAGTTAATGCGATTTTATAATTTGTTCATTTTAGTTATTAATTATTATTATTTTTACAATTGTTCCAGTGACTCAACGATATTCATACCGTTTTTATTTTATTGATTTTAATTTTTTTTAGTCAAGGAGGAGTGTGATATATCATTTTAAAATTACGCACAATCGAGCGAGCCAAGTGAAGCAGGGCTATGAGGCCCTCCGAGCATAAAAGGAGGACTCATAGGAGGTCCTCCACTTCCGGCGCTGTTGCCATACAGCTCAAGTTCGTTTAATGAGTTTCCGTCTACACTTCCACATTTGTCGGATTTTCCTTCTTGTTTTAGGACCATGCGTCGCCATTTTGCTCGTGCATTTTGGAACCATACCTGGAATGATACAAAAAAAATCATTCATTAAATTTTTTTGTACAAAATTATTTATTTAAATATTTTATTTTTAATTAATTCTAAATAAAATTATTTTTATAACAGGTGAAATAAATATGAACTTTTCTTCTAAAATTAATTAACAAAATTAAAATGACTCAAGAAATTTTTTTTGCTAAAAAAATTACGAAAAAATGTGAAATTTAAAAGTTTGAAAAAATATACCAATACTGAAAATTGACAAAAAAAAAATTGCTTTTAAGAAAAAGATTTTTTTTCTTAAAAAATTCTATTTAATAATTTTCAATATAAGACTAAAAAATTTTTCTGACGATTTTCCAAGTAAGGAACAATTTTTAACATAAAATTTTGAAGACTGATTAAAAAAATTAAAAATTTTTACCTAAGTACATTTTTGATTGTTAAAAAAAAAAATTAATTCTGATTTTTTCATGGATATTTTAAATATTAAAATTTGAAAACTTTTTAAAGTAATAAAATTATTTTTAAATAAAGAAAAAAATTTAATTTTTGATGAAAATTTGGGGTCTGTTTTTATAAAATTGTAGATATTATTATATTAAAGTGAAATAACTTATTTCTTTCTTCAGAGATGAATATAACTAAATAAAAAAATGAATATTAAAATAATCGATAGGATGAATATAAAAGAACAAACCCCGTTGGTAATAGCATTAGCAGATAGTAATTGAATTAATAGAGCCGATTTGTCAATAAAAAAGAAATACACAAGGTGTGATTAAATACAAATTGAAATGAGTTATAGAAGAAGAGGTTATAAGTGTCGCAGCGGCATTTTATAGACTTTTAAGTCGCGTTGATTTTCACTCGTTCTTTATCCGCTGAAAGCCACCTGATCCAATTAATTCAAGTCTTGCAATTGCTCTAAGATTGACTACCGTTCTGCAAACAGTAAACACCTTCTGTATACATGTATACATATAAATGCAGACTTTAGTATAAGTACGGCACGATATAGATAAAGAGACATAACACAAGACACAAGACACGAGATCTGACCTTCGTAGCAAAACATAGACTGATTACGCGGCGTCACCACGCAGGGACATATATACACCATAAATGGCGATTAAATACTATCAGACATCCGGCATGTGATCTCATTGAGTATCGAAATAGACCGCAGTTTTGTTTTGTTGGGTTATTTATAATTGTTGTAAAGCAAACCGAATCTACTGCAGTAGCATATATGCTATTTTCTTTTACTTGCTTGAGCTTTTGATTTATTTTTCATTTATGTGCAAGTACGCCAAGATTTAATTTTTGTAAAATATCTTGCTGCAGAGCATCTACAAGACTTGAAATTTGAGACACTTAATACAATCGGCGTGTCAATAAATGATACAACTTGAGAAATATTAATCAGCATGGTCAGATTTATAATGTTAATTATTTTTAAGGGCATTTTCGATGAAATATTTACAAAAATTAGGTATTTTTACTCTGAATAAAAATATTTGAACTGTAATAAGATAACAAAGGTAATATTCGTTTAGCATACTAAAATTAATATATGTTGGTATTTGAGATCAATAATCTTATCAATTTTAAAACAGTACTGAAGATGGTTAAATCATAGTGCAAATTATTTAATTATGTTAAAATAAGCCGAAATTATCCGACTATAGTAAAATAAGTCATAATTATTAAGCTTTTTTAAAGAGTAATTTTATTTTTATTCATGATAAAAGGAACCATTTCTTGTCAATATTTAAAAAAAAAGTACTTGAATAATGATTAACATGAAAACTTGTTGATTAAATAGGATATTTTTCATCTCATCACAAACATCCCTTAGCCAGGCCTTATTACCTGTCGGTACCTTACTTTAATTTACTAAAAAATATTATCTTCAAGCCCAAATTTAAACTGTTACGTTCAATAGCTCTCCAATAAAACATTTTATCATGGAACATAAACCCGGAATTAGTATAAATCAGACATTTAAAAGTTACAGCGTACTTATTCGAAGAATTATCTGGGAAGCGGTAATATTTTGCGATTTAGATCCTCAAGGCCTCCATAAAGAGTAGGTTGTTCCATAAGATTGAGTCATTAATTGAAGAGTGGGTCATAAAAGAAACACAAACTTACTTGTGTTGAATCTTTGATTTTTCAAGTACAAATGTGAATTCCAGCAGCTTTTCCATCACCAAAGTTACAATTAAAAGTAATCTTCTTAATAAATAATTAATTGCTTAGATCGAAGTCCAAGTTATTTCTCTAGCGCAGGGTTGCTTAGGCGCATTATATATACTACATAATAAAAATCTGTTCACTGAGTCTTACTATCCGTTACCTTAGTATGATTTTCTAATGTCGAAAGGTTTTATAATTTAGAGATTAGGATTAATAATTATTTAATGAAAGATTTAGTGGAATTCCTCAATTGGACTTTTGAAAAAAATATAATTGACTTTATATACTTTGTACATTTTAATTCACAACTTAAAGAACTGATTTTACTAAAAATGCCTCTGACTATTCTTCACCCCTCGTAAGCTAATACACCTCCGAGCTAATAAATAAGCAATAAACATATCAATTATCTTCGAAGAGTCAAACTACCCTTAGCGACAATAAAAACTAACAAGATGTCTTTCTGGACAGAGATGGAATAAATTCGCCATTTTGGTGAGTCTCCACCCTCGTGGATACCCAAGAGAATCCTATGATATTAGAAGTGTGTGGACGAAAGGACGAGCCAACAAGGGAAGGAAACCTGAACTGAACTGAGCACACAACACTGCTAGATATATACCACTGCTATAGATATATATGTGTGGATAATACACAGTATATAGTACTTTATAGGCGGTGAAGAGAGGAGGCGAGCTGAGAGCGAGTATTCGCGCGTCTCGCGATCAATATCAACCAAGATGGCGCATACTTTCAAGCAAGACCCCTTAGAATTGTATTCGTAGTCGTCGTCGTCGTTCTGCGCCAAATACAATAGCCCTCCCCCTGCCTCCCCGTTATTATTCTCTGTCCTCGAAAGGAGACCTCTTTCGCTTTATTCCAGTATGGCTGTGTGAGGATATGTCTTTCCATTGCTACTCAACTCCACTTTTTTCAACGTCTGCGGATGTCATCGAGGTGCTTTCGACAAAATGTGGAAACTTTTCTTGGCTCGAGAACTTTTTTGTTTGGTTCGAAATAATTGAATTCTTCAAAATCATTTTATTTTCTTGGTTCAAGATTTTTCCTCGTTAATCAAGTCAATTTTTTTTTTATTTATTGTGTGCATTGACAAAAAAGTAAGTCATTGAAGAAAAAAATTCATTTTTAAATTTTGAGCTTACTTTGAGATATTCAGCTTAAATTAATTCAAGAAATTAATCTCTTTTATTTTCTATATTATTAATAATAAAAGACTGGGATAATCTAAGGCTAAATAACAATTTGAAACTTTGATTAAAAATAATAAAAAAATCACAATTTTCATTTTAAATCCAAACAAAAATAATCTACACGGAAAAAAATAAATAGTAAATGCAACATGATGAAATCATGTTGCAGCCACATGATTGGTCATGTTTCGACTACATGACAATCATGTTGCGGGAGCATGAGAAAAATCATGTTGCAGCAACATGATTTTCATGTAGCCTTAACAGCATAAATTGTATATAATTTGAATGAACAAAGATATCGTTCACAAATTGTATAATTCGATAATTTACTCTTATTGTCATCTGCAATATTATAAATCCTAAAAAATCTAGTTACTTTAGAATAAATAATGTTTCTTAAACATAAATATTTAGTTGTTGCAGCTTAATTTTGTGCTAATAAGGCTACATGACAAATCATGTTGCCAAATGATTTTTCTCATGCTACCGCAACATGATTGTCATGTAGCTGAAACATGACAAATCATGTTGCTGCAACATGATTGTCATGTAGCCGAAACATGATAAATCATGTTGCTGCAACATGATTTCATCATGTTTATTAATCAAGACTGCATCATGTTGCATTTACTATTTATTTTTTTCCGTGTAGAAAAGACTTTTCACTTAGCGAACGCTCAACTTATAAAAATTTTTTTTTAATCAATTGTTATTTAAAAAAAAAAAGACTTCAATGGCTTGTGTTGTGAATTTTTTAATCATAATGACTTTTGAAAAAATCAATTTTTCAACTCAATTTATTTTTTAATTTCCTTATCTGACATATGAAAAATTTTTGAATGTAAACAGCAGCTCAATATTTTGTTATTTAATTTTGATCAAAATTATCTTAACGCTGAAAAAGAATTATTGAACAGCCATTAAAATCATTTCCAGCTTCTGATATATTAATTTCAAGCCAACGATAAAAAATACACGTACTTCTAAATTCTAATAAGAATAGACCCTCAGCTCAAGGTGGTCCACAATAAAAAAAAAAAAGTGGGAAATTTAGCGGATGTCAATGAAGGAAACAGTAGATGCATTGCGGAAGATTAATCGTCCGTATTTTATCACGGATATTTTAGAGAAGAGTTTTAGATTTTTTTCGGGTGAAGTACATAGTTAGTTTCATATTTTGTTGGACTTGTTTGAGTTATGTACGACGCCCTATAAAAATATTCACGGGACTTGAGTAGACGGTGCTTGCAAGTATGTACGCTGGTCTCCCAATTAGTGCGTCCCGGTCCACGTGAACGGCTGTGCTTTCGTGATATTTCCGTCGACGCTGTTGCTTTTCTTCGTTATCCGTGTTCTTCCTCTCCTTATTCTTGTTCTTATTTTTTTATTCTTGTTCTTGTTCATCTTTGAGTAGAGTTGAGCTTCAACCTGGACCGGCAATAGCTGAACGCAAATCGTCGTCTACCCTCTTTAGTCCTCGTTAAAACGACCCACTCATTTCTGTAACTGTTACCACATTTTTCTTCTAACCCGTCTTGAATTCATAGGTTCCGGAATTTATATGTCGTATGAGTACTTATGGGTATTTATAGTTATGGATAAAAATTTTTTTTTCGATTTGTTTTAAACGTTTATTCGTGTAAATAACTTGCAAGGTTATTGTCTTTCTTTTTCATAAAATAACTGAAGTTTTTAAAATAGCTTTTAAAGATATTTTTGCATTGCTATTTGTAAACTTTGAATTATTTATTTTTACACTTTTTTTAATAATATTATATTGCATTCAAGTTCGAAAGAAAAATTAAATTTTTAAAAAATATTTTTTTTAAATTGTAAAATTTTTCTATCAAAAAATTTTTTTTGATTCTGTCGATAAATTTTAAAAAAATTTAGAAGATCAAATCAGATATTTTTTTTTTTTAGAGCAGAATAATCACACAACAAGAGCATAAAAACTTAATATCAACCTTAAAATCAGGCAGCAAATCTCTCATGTCCTTAATGTAAGGTTAAATTTTTCTAATCTAATGATTTTGAGCGTGGTATTGCGGTTTATAAACAGGACTGTAACTTTTATAGAATAATTGGTGAGACTGTTGGTGAAGTAAAGACTGATTTAGGACTTGTTGAATTCTAATTTGATTGGCAGCGAGCCAATTATACTACTATATATAAATATACGGCTTACATGTACAGTTGTACAGCAATAGCAACAGCAGCAGTTATCTAAAAGTTGAAACAGAGTAAAACTCACCTGTAGTACCCTCTTTGGCAATCCGGTCTTCTGCGAAAGCTGCTTAAGATCTTTTGCGTCTGGATTGTGATTGATGGAAAAATAACTCTTCATCGTTCTTAGCTGATGATGTTTGAAGCTTGTTCTCATCCGCTTGGTCCGGCTGTTTGAGCCTGGCATACCCGGCGTACCTGGGCCGCGTCCAAACGGCATATCAATGTACTCTGAATTCAGATCTGTAGTTAAATAAACAAACAAAACAATCAAGTTATTATTATTTTTTATCATTTGATTTTTTAATTGACAATGAATAATCCATAATTGGTAATGTTTAAGCACATAAGCAAGCAATCTTGCATGTGTACTCCATGATAGTAAGCCACCACAATACAACATAGAGTTGTAATTGGTTGTGTACTTGCATACTGTTAATGACTATGAGTATAAGTACAGTATAAATGTATGAACGTATAGATGCAGTGTGTGCTATCACTTTTCTTAGGTTTGCACTCGAGAGCTAATGAGCCGTGATACGCATCAAACAGCGCTACTAGAGAGTAGTCTTGTATAGGAATATATATACACAGAGATAGTCATGGTATGGTTCAATGTGTACTTGTTAGATCGAGCAATCTCCTCTCTTTCTTAATCGCAAACTTTTATTAATTTGTTTTTTCATTTTTTCATGCTTGACTCGTTTTATTCAGACATTAGACAAGATAACTTAATCCGTGAATCTAATCGGTTAATCCATAAACTACAACATTATTGGCTACTTGATTTAATTGTATTTTTTCATTTTTATTTAAATAAATTTTATGAAGTAAAAGTAAGTGTTGAAGATGTAAAATTTGAATTTTTTAGTGAAATTTTAAATGTAATTATGGGATGTAAAATTAGTATAGTTTTTTATAAGATAATTTTAAAAACTATCATTCTCAAAATTGCAATAGTCGAAGACAAATATTTATTTTAAAAAATTAGGTTTCAATTTTTTATAAAATTTATTGAAAGTGTATTTATAGTTTCATAATTTTTTACGATATTCCAAAAGTAATAAACAAAATAAAATATCAAGTCAAATAAATTACCAAGTTTTGTATTATCCCAAAGTCATGTTGGGAATTAAATTAAAAATTTATATTGATGCAATAAAATTACAAAATTATTCAAGGCTAGAATATTGATGAAATTTTTATAAGAAACAGTATTATGATGTTTTCAAGCTAAAACTGAAACAAAGATCAAAATGTTATAAAAAATTAGGTTATTAAACACTTAGCTATAATAATAAATTTATCAAAATTTTTTCTAACTTTTTTGAAAAATTTTTATTGATTCAAAAATTTTCCTTCTCGATTCGAGACAAAAAATTTCTAAGTTCAAGATTTTTTTTTTCGAATCAAATTAATTTTTTTTAACTAAAAATCTCTCACAAATTTTCGATACACAAAAAATAACCATTTACAATCATGCCTCAAAAAACCACATCAGAAAAAATCATCTACCCTTATCAAAAAAAAAAGATACTTCAATTAAAAGTGCAGAATAAAAAATTAAAACTCGTCAAATGATTAGTTACAAAGTTACAAAAGTGTCTAAGATTAAAACGCTTCTAAAAGAGTGTTTGGCAATAAAAAGAAAAAATTTCTCGCGGTTTCATTACCAAATTGGGTAACGATTGAGATTGGACATGCGTGTACTCTATACACCATACACTGTACAGAGTAACTTGCAATTTACACTATCTAGATAACGAAATGGTCTGATCCAAAATAAGAACTATTAGAGCCAGTTGGCGATCGATGATGGATCTGCACGTAACAGCTCGATCTGATGTGAGAAAATGAATTTAGAAAAGCTATTGTTTCCCACGGTGAGCAATTCTGCACTTGGGAACTGGTTTTGAGATTGAACTTTTTGAGTTGAGTGTGCATGCATGATCTCGCTGGTGAACGTACACAAGCAACTTTGTGTGATAATGATAATGATAAGTTAACGCGTGAGTATGAATGAGAAATAAACAAAAATGAAAAAAATAACAACCAATATAATGCAGCTTGGAGATGCTCGTACTCGTGAATTTATGTCGAGCGGACAAATTTTATCAGGGTTCGGTGGCAAACGCTGGACGCCTACGCTAACCGTAAATCACCATTGCTCGAGGCACCATCTCTCTGTTTCGTTGAGGAACTAAATTATAAGGAGGGAAAAAAAAATAAAGGACGTACACAGAAATACAAAATACCGAGTAGAGTGCTTGCTGGAGAAAGAATGAGAATAAAAATAAATTATAAGAAAGACAGATAGTAAATGTTGAATTGAGAGCAGTTCGACCTTGAAAAACTCGACTTTAAAAACTACGAGGACTCTTTTCTCTGTTGGTACGTACGTTTTAACCTCATGTTGTGTAAAACGTTTGTGTTTCTCGACGGGTTGTTTTGCCTTGTACCACGAGAACTCGATAGCGATCGCACCGATCCGCAGCAGCCGAGTCTTGTGCTGCTTTTCGTGAGAAGAAAACCTTAAGATGACAAAACAGACACAAAAAATAAGAGTTATATGTACAGTTAAGTGGATGCATATAATAAAATCGCTACAAATCGGACTCGCGTAAGATTATCAACTTCGACTGAGTAAAATATTAAGGAAGGAAATTCCTTTAGATATTAAAAAAAATCAACATTTTTAATTCATATTTCGGAAATGTAAACTGTTGAAAGTTTAATGGCAAGAGGAAAAATAATTTTGAATATTCACAGTGTTATTTTACGTATTTGAAAGTTTTAGAACCTTAATTATTTATTATACTGAAACTTTGAACGTGATTTTATCGTGCTATAACTCTAAAAATTATTTAACAATTTAGCTGATGAAATTTTGTGCGATTTGTGTCTATATAGTTAACAGAAAAATGTACCTAAAGTTTGAAAGATTTCGTGCAAATTAACTATTTTTTGAGTTGAGCAAATTTTATGTAAGATAGTACAAATTTAATGAAATTTTTCAATTAATAATGATTTCTAATTGTAGAAAAAATATATAAATTATTATTAGAGAAATTTCAGAATGAAATAGAAAAGTTAAAAAAATTACAATATTTTGTATAAGTTGAATTTTGACTTTAAATAACTTTTGAAGGGTTCAATTGATAAAAAAAATCATAAGAAACCATTATTGAAGAACATTAAATTTTCCACAAAATTATCTGTATGATCTTTGATTATTATGTTACAAAAATCAGAAGAAGCAAAAAAAAAATGTTTTTTATGTTATGCTTATGAAAAATCTATAAGTGCGATGTGGAACCTCTCAATATTGAAATGAAGAGCTCATTTTTACAAGTTTATTTTTAAACTTAAACGAGACTTTTGAGCCTGTTTCTGACAAAAAATAAAAAGAAAAACTATAAATGACACTTATAACTGTAATTTTCTCATGGTTTGTAAAAAATTACATACTTTGAGCCGTCCAAAGCGATTGCTTTTTTAAATTTAATAAAAAAGTTGTGAACATTGTTTGACCTTGAGAAACTAAGCAAAGAGTGAAAAGCACAACTTCAAACGCTGAACGTTATGAGGCGTGCAAAATACTGAGAACACTAAACAAAACCCCGATTGCAATCAACAAACCAAGTTTCAAAGTGTACTCGAATCCCACCAGTTTATTTATAGATCCAGCATAACCGATACCCCAAAAAAAGGTTGATGTCGGTACGATGTCTACTCGTTTCGGTTATTGCTCGCGCCGAATCGGTGTAGTTTTTTTAGTGCCACGCGACCGCAATCACCCAAGAGGAACCCTCAAGCCAGCCTAGTTAAAAAAGTACCACTAAATCAGAGCACCGAAAAAGCAAGCAAAAAATTTATGTACCAGCGTTTCTTATAATATATTTTATTATTTTATGGTACAAGACATTGGAAGCTTGTAAGTTTGAGAAAATTTAAAGTTTAGGAAACGGATCTAGTCTGTGCCGATAAAAAAAGACAAGTACCACGAACTGAGAAGTGATTCATCTAAAAGCATCTTCGACCCATGGAGAGGCTGGTGAGTTTGCCGAACCTATATAATACCGCGGAGCAGTAGTTGTATTAACTCAAGACTCAAGACACCTACTTGTTCATTTTTTGTAGCTCTTTTTCAAAGTAACACAACTTGCTCAGTCACAACTGCTTTGTCTTAGAGCACCAGCCGCGCATGTGTGTCTGGCGCATGGTAATGACGCGTTTAATGTATACGTTTTTTTACAACTATTTACTCCTTATTCTTATTCATTGAGAACACGTGCGAATGGATATATTGTATGTTCACTTCCTTATCGGGAATAATGTAGATAGACCTAAGACGGAAGACATAAGACACAGAGCCGCCTGGATTGATGTTATTCGAATCGAGACAGGATAAAGGTTATGATTAGATTCAATTTGTCCAAGTTTGAATAGGAAATTATATTTTTTACTTTTGTTTGAGAATAATTGGATATATAGGTGTGATTTTTTTGGCTTGGGATGGTTTGCAATTATACATTTAAGGGAAGAAAAAGATTTTTAGGTAACTTTTTCATAGTCCTGGTAATAATGATTTAGTTTTATTTTTAATTGAGAAAAAGTCTCATAGGTGTCGTAATTTGTAACTTTTTTGAGAAAAAGAGGGGTCAATCTGGAAATTTTACCCAAGTTTTGATGATTCAATTTATTTTTCGTTGAAATTTTTCGCGTTAAAAAATTTATAAGCAATTAAATGTAAAGAATCCCGCACGGAAAAATATGTCAATATAGATGTGAAAATATATAAAAATATATGTCGTATATATTTGAACATATTTTTTTTTGCGTAAAATTATATGTGCACATATATATTGAAATATATGTCTGCATATACACTTAAATATATTTTAAATACATCTTCGATAAGTTTCCTGAAATTATTTAATTTAATTTTTTTTTAATTTGAAATTCTAATAATTGTAAAAGAAACAGCGCAAAAAAATTCATAATGCTCATAAATGTGCACATATATATATATATATATATATATATATCATATAGATTTCGGCATGTATATTAGTATATATCTTTAATATTTATATTTAGATATATTTGAAATATATATTGGCATATATATAAAAATGTTTGATGACATATATTTGAAAATATATTTAACATATTTTTTTTTTTGCGCAAATATATATTGTATATGTCACATCTACCTACATCTATTTTTCACATACATATTTTTCCGCGCGGGATGTGTAAAAAAATGACATTAAATTATTTTTGATAATTTCAGAAAAAAAATCGCTACAAAATTTTATAATTTTAACCAATGATAAACAATTTACTATTGAAAAAAAAAGGATATATTCTTTTTATATTAAAAAAAAATGTAATTTTTAAATTTCAAACATTTATGAACAATTAAATTTTTTTTAATAAGTTGAAAAATTTTTTTAGAAACATTAAAATTTCGAGTACAAGCGCAAAGTGAAAAATTTTTGATAACTCACCTAGACTAGCAGTCATAGCTTCTAAATCCTTGGGCTTCCTTTTCCTCGGACGACCTTTTTGTCTGGGTGGAGGAACTCCAGCAGCTCCACCGACAGCCTGAGCAGTCCCGTTGAAGTAGGGGACTTTCGGCGGGGAGCCTACTTCAGGACCTGAGGGCGTCGACGGTTGAAGTGGTACTGGACTGGCGTGGGTTAATTGATGAGGATGCTGAGGATGCATGGTATGGTGAGGATGGCTCGAGACGCCATGATGGTGCGGCTGATGGTGCAGAAAGTCCGGGGACGGAAACGACTGCCCGGGATAATGAGGTCCCGGAGGATAAACGGGCACCGGGGGACTCTGAGAGGGATGCATCTCAGCACCCATTTCGTAGTCAGAGCGGCACAGGACCACGCCGTTTCTCATGCCAAATGTGTCCCCTTTCGTCAGCGGGACGGCACATATTGTGCAGGAGAAACATCGGACGTGGAACACCAGCTCTCGGGCTCGCATCACCAGCTCTGATGACAGGATTGCTGCTTGACATCGCGCGCAACGTTTCAGGCTGCCGAACATTCTGAAACAAAATTTAAAACTTTATTTTAGTCATCATTTTTATTATAATTAAATAATTAAAAATAAACAAATTGAAAAGAAAAAAAAATAATGATTATAAATTAAATACAAATAAACTACAAGAAAATTTATTTTATTTACAATTCATTTTTAAATCTCGTTTAAATTTTTACGCGGATAGTATTTATTTCGCACAAATAGAATGCTCTCTTTTGCTCCGATGCGTGAATCATAAAAAATAACCAATTGAAGATTGTATTACCGGGAGTCAGCGAGCGAAACAATATAGTATCAGCTATCTTATTCAAGCTGTATTTAGAAATAAATTTTTATACATGGTTGCTCAAAGGACAAAAAATTTCTCCAACTGCCAGCCGAAAAAAAATTAATTTAATCATAATTAAACTAGCTGCAATTTTCATTTCATTAATTCTCATCCAACAAATGAGATTAAAAAATAAATTAAGATAAAAATTGATTTTTTCGAAAAATTTTGTATACTTCTCCATAAATAGTTTAAAAATCGATACCATTCCATTAAAAGCACTTTTTGTAAGTAAAAATCTCACAATTTTTTATGTAACTAGATATAGACAAATTAGAACATATTAAAAATTATTATGAAATGTTTCATAAAATTTTTAAAAGGTAGTCATCAATTTTTTTATCATCATAATTATTCATGGAGAGTTCAATTTCATCATCGAAAAAAAATAACAATATTTGAAAAATAATTTATAGCAGGTCGGGTTCAAAACTTGAGTCGAGAACATCTCTATCTAGTTTCATGAAATGCCGTGGTACTGGGTGCCAGAAGTCGGGAGCTACTTTTACATTTAACACGGGAAGGGAATAAGCAGAACCAAGTAGGCTGTTAGTCAGCAATATATTTGGTGACAGAGATAGGCGAGAGGTAGGTAGCCAGAGAACGATATCTTTAGAGATATAAGCTCCAGCGTATCCGCGGCCCGGTAATGGAGACAGTAGTGCCGCTAATGCAGTAGCGATGTTGAGCAGTCTCCATGTATCTGGATACTTACCCTCTTGCTCTTTTTCCTACACGATTTTTTACCCATTGGTATACATATTATACAAGTTTTGCGATATCAAATGTATATCGATTCCTTTTATTTTTAAAACTCGGGATGGTCGACAGTCGCTGTTCTCAATGTGCTGGTAAATGCACTTCTGTTTTATCCGTTTTATCCTTTTATCGTTTTTCGCCTACGCAGTCTTCCTTACTTTGTTATATTATATACATTTCAAAGCTTTTCAGTCATTTTTTTATATTACATTCAAGGTGCCCGCGAGTTATAAAGCCAAATTATATGTTTATTATTACTAAAGGACATTTTTGAGATCAATAATTAATCTTATTAATTTCAAAATAGTACTGAAGATGTTTAAATTATAGTACAAATTATTTAATTATGTTAAAATAAGCCGAAGTTATCCGACTATAGTAAAATAAGTCATAATTATTAAGCTTTTTTAAAGAGTAATTTTATTTTTATTCATGATAAAAGGAACCATTTCTTGTCAATATTAAAAAAAAAGTACTTGAATAATGATTAACATGAAAACTTGTTGATTGAATAGGATATTTTTCATCTCATCACAAACATCCCTTAGCTAAGCCTTATTACCTGTCGGTACCTTACTTTAATTTACTAAAAAATATTATCTTCAAGCCCAAATTTAAACTGTTACGTTCAATAGCTCTCCAATAAAACATTTTATCATGGAACATAAACTCGGAATTAGTATAAATCAGACATTTAAAAGTTACAGCGTACTTATTCGAAGAATTATCTGGGAAGCGGTAATATTTTGCGATTTAGATCCTCGAGGCTTCCATAAAGAGTAGGCTATTCCAAAAGATTGAGTCATTAATTAAAGAGTGGTCATAAAAGAAACACAAACTTGCTTGTGTTGAATCTTTGATTTTTAAACGACAAATTTGAATTCTAGCAGCTTTACCATTATCAAACTTATAATTAAAAGTAATGTTAATGAATAATTAACTGCTTAGATCGAAGTCCAAGTTATTTCTCCAGCGCAGGGTTGCTTAGACGCATTATATATTACGTAACAAAATTCTAATTCCTATTACCAGGATTCTCAATTTCCTTATTTTTTCACTTTTCACCTCATCGCCACTTACATTAATCCTCCTCTCTTCATACCTTCACATTTAAGCCTCAAACCTAGACCCGTTATTCACAAACGCATGAAAAGCTTCGGTTGATTTGCGCAGTTTAGCGTCTAAGTAGTTGTCTGCCTGAGGGTCTTGACTCCAAATTGAGAGCACATTGTCATTACCAATGTAATGTTTGCCAGCGAATAAGTGATTCAGTAATCTCGGATCTCTACCCTCAGCTTCAGCTAGCTCCAGGGGGCCGGATTGGGTCTAATCGGATTCGACATATTACGAGGATTGCATAATCGCTTAGTCCAGTTGAACTCTTATTTATTCAAAAATTCAGTTTGCCCAAACCACAAAACAAATTTTCCGTACCTGTTGTGTCTTTTGTCGAACATCGCAATCGGGTCTAGTCTCTTTTCTCTTTTGTACCATGTTTTACACAGTAGCAGCCCGCAAACCGGTGAATGAGGCCCAGAATAAGAACACAACAATATTCACATACATCGTAGTTTGTATTCGGCGATTCAAATATATTTCTCACTACTGTATTATGTACTGTATACACGTTTATGCGGTCGCCCCGCGGAGAATCCCCGCTGAGTCTTACAAGTATCGCCATATGCGTTACATTATTATACAACTCCGGCAGGGACCGGGTTCGCGCCCCATCCGAGTCCCAATACCAATCCAAGTGATTATATTTTGTCTCAATGTAAGTTTATAATATAACTACAGTAGTGAATCCGAAACAGAACACTGTTAACACAAATCTTGACAAAGAGTCGGAAATCTTTTATACTTAATATTTTATTTAAGGAAGTAAATCGTGGCCGCTGATGCGACCTCTTACCGTGCGTTCGCACACACTTTCAACTATATACAAATTTGCTCTCACGTGGACACTTTTAGCACGTGGTTTACTTTCAGAAGTTTAATTAAGGTTCCCGATTATTCAATGTTAAAATTTTTTTTGTTATTGTAGACAATTTTTAGATGGAAGGATTATTGAAAATTATTGTGACATTTTACATTGATGCAAACTAGCAACCTGTAATTTCTATTTGACTAGCGATAATTACAAATTGTTAATAAAATAACAAGAATAAATTAAAAAAAGAAACTGTAATAATAAATTAATTGCAAATTAATTTTATTTACAATTCAATTTTAAAGTTTGTTTAAATTTTTTCGTGGATAATATTATAATTATCGTTTCAATTTATTCTTGTAGTGCACAGTTGAGATAATTTTTTTTCTATTGACGTTTGACATAAAATTATCGAAAAATTAAACGTAATATTGAGATTTAGTGAAAATTTGTATATTTGATGTACTTTGACAAATTTACAAATAAAATGAGTATTTAAGGTATGCAAATTTGGATTTACGAAACTTTTTTATAACTTCTCTAAAAATTTATCATAATAAATCACAAATTCAGATCAAAAACTTTTCAATGTAACTAAATATAACTAAAAAATCAATTTAATTGTTTAAATACGCAGGAGATAAAATTTTCCTTATTCTCTTAATTATATTGATTAACATGTAAGCCATATAAGTAAAATAAAATGTATCTCACTGAAGTGTAAGATCCAAAATTGACCCGACTAGAAATTTTAATGTAAGACCTATTGGGTCCCCATTGGGTTGCCCAATGGGGACCACACATAGGGATGTAACGCAAAGCCCTATGTGGCCCTCATTGGGCAATCCCTCTTGGGCCCCAATAGGGAAATCCCCATCAGAACCCCATCTAAATTTTGAAAGAAAAAATATTAAAATTTTCGAAAAAATTAAAAATACTTCAGGATTATACACTTATATTATATTAGAACGCATTAGTGAATTTAATCTCTGATGGAAATGGAATTAGTGGTTGAAAAAATCCTTGGCGTGAGTTGGGCTCGAACTTGCGTCTTTAGGGTCCTCAGTCGTGCACGTTACCGCTGGTCCAAGCAGGAGTACTGTTACAGTGGAATTTTATTTCGTATACATCAACTTAAGCGATTTACTGAGACAATATTCATGTTATATTAGAAATTTAAGAAATTATTTTTTTTTTTCATTCACTTAAAAAAAAATTTAACACAGCTTAGTTTGGGTTGACCTCACTTGTAAGTAATTACCAAATTTTCCTATATGGATAAAAATTTCATTATCAAAAATTTTAATTTTTTTTATAACGCAAATTCTTTTGCAAATGTGAATCTCCTCAAAAGTTGGATATTCTTCAAAAATTGAATTTTTACATATTGAAAATAAAAATTTTTTTTCAGTGAAAATTTTTTTTTGTCGTAAAAAGAAAAAAATTTACGTATGAATCTCGTTTCAACAACATTAAAAATGTATTTCAGTCTAACAACTTAGTATTTGGATTTAATCTGAAATTGATCCCAAATTAATCTGGGATGACGCTGCTAAAAAACTCCGGATTCACTCCGTGCGCGAATTGCTTAATTACTTCACTCCGAAACTCCGAGTGATGGGATTAAATTTTAATTCTGATTAAAATTTTTTTCGAATTCATCCCAATATGTTACAATTTATTTTTAATCTCGTAAAACTAAATTTTTTAAGACATAAAGTTATGTAAAATTTGAAAAAGCTTAACTAAATTTAATTGTTTTTGTTTAACAATGTTGAATTAATTTTTTTCCTTATTCTTTTCTATACTTATAACGGCTAATTTTTATTTGTATTCCTAATTAATTTACAGCAAATATATGCTAATAATCACATAATGCATTTGCAAGTGATGAATTGAAAAACTGATAGTTTTCCATTTTTACCCTAGATATTCCCACTGTGGTCTCATATGAATCCAAACTAGAAGAAAACTCGTAAAAATTTTGTTATTTCACATTGGGCATTCCCACTTTGGTCCCACA